GACGGAGGGAACAGGACGAAGGGGAGGGGGAGGAGGGAGGCGAAGGGGAAGGGGAGGGGGAGCAGTACCGGGGCCGAGTCCTCCGCCAGCGCGCGCAGCACCGTGACGTTCTCCTGGCGCCTCGGCGGGCCGAGAGGCGCGAGGGGGGCCGACCCGCGCTCGCCCTCCGTCCTCGCCCTCCGTCCTCCTCCTCCGTCCTTCTCCTCCGTCTTCCCCCTCCTCCTCCTCCTCCCCTCCTCCTCCTCCTCACTCCTCGTCCCCATCCCCTAGTCTTGATTCCCATCCGTCCTTCCTACCGCTCCTCCTCGCTCCTCTCCTTTCCTCCTCCTCCTCCTCCTCTGCCTCTCCCTCCCTCCCTTCCTCCTTCCCCCCTCCCCGTCCTGGCCCGGTGTCGTCGTCGCATCGTCGCGTCGTCGTAATCGTCTGCGTCTCGTCGTCATCGCTGCGTCGTCGTCGTCGTTCTCATCTCGGCGTCGTTATATCGTCGTCGTCGTCGTCGTCGTCGTTATCGTCCGCCGTTTGCCGTTGCCCTCTTTCCTCCGACCTCCTCCCCCCTATACCCCTTGTCCTCACCACCTCGTCCTCCCCCCCCCGGCCTCAGCGCCGACAGGCGCCAAAAACCACATGTTGAAAGCCAGTCCCCTTCGTCAGCGCGACTGTTCGTGAACGCTCCACGGCGAGCGGGTGTGGCGCTGAGGTGACAGCCACAGATCGAAAACAGGCTCCTCTCCGACCAGTCTACTTCGTGGCTGGAAGGTCGGACGGTAGAGGGAAACAATTTAGTAAAACCCCCTGCCCCCAAACTCAAAGTTGGCACCGCGGGGGAGACTGCGGTCGAGGTGCAACTCATCAGACCTACCGCCAACTTTGCACTTGGGGGGAGGGGGCAGGCGTTGAAGATGCATGTGGCATGAGTGTTCGCTTTTTTTTTTCCCCCCCAGGCCCGAGCACCCGACTCACAGGCGGCTCGGAGGTCTCGGGCACACGCAGCGGGCCCCTGGGAGAGCATGCGCCGTGCGAGCCTCCGCAGACTGCCCTGGCCTGCGCGCAGGGCGAACGTGTGGCCTCGGGGGTGCGGCCCCAGGGCGACCAAAAACCGCGAGCCCATGCGCGCCCTCTGTACCTGGAACGTCAACCGAACTGGTGTCCTCCTTCCTCCTCCTCCTCCTCCTCCTCCTCCTCCTCCTGCCACATTATCAGTCGCACCCAGAATGGTGAGAAGGCGATGCACCTGCCACGCTGTCAGGACCTTGGGGGACCTAGAACGACAAGAACCCGTCGCCCCTGCCGCGCTCTCAGAAAACTGGGGGGGGGGAAGTGAGAGGACCTGTTGCCTCGGCAACACCTTCGAATCATGGGGGCTCAGAACTGTGGGAAACCAGTGACGCTGGCACAATTCTGCCCCCCCCCCCCCCGTCATACCAAAACAGTTTAGCATCCGATGGCCCTGCCACGGATTCGAGACCTGGGGCGCAGCGTTGTTGCGGACCTGGGGCGTACCATCTTCGAGCGGGCGCATGGGAGCGACCCTGTAGGAGCAAACTGCTAGAAACACAAAAAACGCGGCGCTGCTATGTAAAAAGGGTATCAAGACTGACCGCCACCGTACCCTCTCTCCCCAACAAAGAAATAAGGAAGAAGAGAATTCTGACGAGGTGGACGAGGAGGAAGAGCAGGAGGAGGAGGAGGAGGAGGAGGAGGAGGATATCAGGATGAGGAGAGAGGACCAGGAGGGGGCATGAATGAGAAGGATGAGGAGGAGAGTAGCGCCATGGACGAGGAGGAGTAGGAGGAGGAGGACCAGTGCAGACCCAAGACGCATCGAGGATGTTGCAATCAACCCACCTTCCAAATTCCCTTTTCACAGATCCCTACAAGACTATATTTTCCATTGTCGGAGGCCTGGAAATTGGCACCAACACCAAGACAGGGGGTTGCCTCCACAGGGGGAAGGTGATCCTAGATTTTCGGTGTTGGTGGTAATAGTTCGGGAACCTTGGAAGCCAGAATATTACCACCATCACCGAGATCGGGATCTTCTTCCCTCGGTGGAGGCACACCGCCGAAATTGGTGTTGGTGTCAATCTCTAGGCCTGCGACATTGTGGGAAATGCCCCTTTGAAAGCATCCGTCTGAGAATCCTCCATCGTGCTCAACACCGTTCCCGGGACTGCAACGCCGCGGATCAGCGTGACCGCTGCGCCCTGACGGTCAGAAGCCGTGCCAGAACACCCTTCCTGGGACTTCAGCACCGCGAATCTTTCTGAAGTAGAACCACCACGCGCACGCCATGCACGCCTCGGTGCGAGCGGGCTCTGAGGACGTTGCGCATAGGCATTTCGCGTGAAGGCCTGGACACAGGGGGAGAGGGCACCAGGCGCAGACCCCGAATCAGCGTGATTGCTGCGATCTGGCAATCCGAACACGTGCCAGACAACTGGGACTTCAACCCTGCGACTCCCTGAAGCTGCTGCATCAGTTTGGTACGAATGCGCGCGGCGCTAAGGCGAAAGCCACGTTTTGAGAAGGCTCCGCCCTCAATCCCTGAAGCCGTTAGACACGTTTAAAACATATGTGCGGGGTTCCCACCCACAGGGGGTAGCACCCTTCCCTGGGAGAAGCTTTCGCCGTCGACTCTTTGCCTCACGGACGCGTCGAGCTCCCCTGTCAGGGTTGGCGGATACCGTTCACGGTGGCCTCGAACTTGCATGTGGCCCGAAGAAGTGACCTCAGCAACAACTTCTTCTGTTTGAGCACGATGCGCAGGAGGAGGCTTGTCGGCGCCGATCCCCATGATCGGGCACATCATTACACTGAATAAAATGAACCAAATCGGGACAAGCAGCGTCCTCCGACTCAAGAATCGGGGCCGAAGGCCTCCCATCAGCAGCATCAATAAGCCCAATTCCCATGTCAGGGACAGGGGGATGTTCTTGCGCACTCTCTGACACCTCGAGGACGAACTGCGCGAAGGCGGCGACACTTGCAGGCAGAGGGGGAGCAGGACCAGCGAAGCTACCCGTAGGCCATGACGAGGAGGAGAAGGAGTAGGAGGACGAGGAGGAGGAGGAGGAGGAGGAGGAGGAGGAGGAAAGCCACGACCACCACCACCACAACGACCGCCACCACAACGACGCAACGACCGCCCCTCGCCGCGCCCCGGCCTCCCTTCCTTCCCTCCTCCCCTCCTGCCCGGCCGCACCCGCCTGCTGCGTTCGCCTCCTCGCCTTCGCTGATCCGATGACCGCTCCAGCTGGCGAGTGACTTGGCGCTGTGCCTTCGCTGCGGCGTGCCCCACCCCCCTCCTGTGCACCACCCAGACATGCGACGTCCTGATTTTTTCAGGACGGCGTCCCTGGAAGCCCCAACCCCTTCCCCGGGGCCGGTTTTTCATCCGGAGTCGTTTTGTTGACGGTCCCGAGGCCCGGCGAGGGCCCCCCCAGGGCCGAAAATGGCTAAAACCGGCCCGTCCTGTTTTTTTTCACGACGCCATCATGTCTGGGCAGCCGGAACCGGCGGCGCCCGCGCCCGCCGCGGGGGCCCCGCCGGCGGGACGCCGGCGGGGCCCGGCGGCGCGGGGCCACCTGCAGGCGGGCGCGGGCGGCTGCGGGGGCCCGCCCCGGGCGGGGGCACCTCTGCGCCAAGGGGCCTCCTGGCGCAAACGGCCCCTGGGGCGCACGGGGGGCCGCCGGGCGCGCTGCCAGCTCGCGGGCGAAGGACGGTGCCCTGCCTCCGGATCCGCCCTCTATGCTTTGGGGGAAGGTCGTAAGGAGGGCTTGGGAGGTCCGCCTTGCGTTTCAAGCCCCGCGGATGCCAGTGCCCGCCCTACTTTTTGTATGTGGCTGTTTCCGCCCTACTTCTGTGGATTTCCGCCCTATTCTATGTTGGGTGCCGAAATTTCCGCCCTACTTTTTCGGCTTCTTATAAGTGGATTTCCGACGCAATTTTAAGTTGGAACAAAAAAAGCCAAAGTAGGGCGGATCTGGAGTCAGGGTATGGAATTAACTTCTCCGTCGCCGGGGGCGCTGCCCCATGGCGGCTGGGAAGTTTCTACCTTGACGTGCCACCTTTTCAGCATAAAAATTTCCAGCCGCCCGACATCGAAAACAATCATTTTGTAGTGGTCTTTGCCCGTTAAGCCAGGGCCGCCGCGGGAAAAGCTTGGCGCCATAGTGGGAAGCTGGGCGCAACTTCTCCCTGGCCCGCCACAGGGGGGCCGCAGGGGCCGCCGGGCGCGCCGCCAGGGCCGCCGAAGGGCCGCCATAGGGGGCCGCCGGGCGCGCCGCCGGCGCCGCTGCCTAGGGGCCCGCCCGCAGGACGCGCAAGGTCTGCAGAGGTGCGCGGCCCAGTCGTCGACCACGAGGGCCTGCGCGATGGGACCCCGTGGGGGCGCGCCTGGTCCTGCAGAGAGAAAAAAAAAGAGACCCCCCCCACAAAAAAAAAACACGCGCCTCTCCGCAGGCAGCGCCCCCCGGCCGCGGGGAGCACCTGCAACTGCGCCTGCGCCGCCCAGTCCGTCGCGGTGGCGTCGCCCATCGCGCGCGCGGGTCT